GAGAGACCATGAGATGAAGTGTGTGTAATTGTCTTAATCCTTGCTAGACCCTCCTACTTGACCAATTTGCGGGCACAGCAGAATGGCTATTGACTATAAATCTCCCCATGGTTCTGCCAAAGACAAGGTACCCAAGAACTGCCTCCTAGTGGCTTAGGAGTCACTGTTTGCCATAAAGGAGATCTGAAGGCAGAGAACTAAAGGCTCTTGAGTTTTCACTTCTCCATGTGTGCCACTATATATATCAAACTAGTGCTTGAATCCTGGTCTAGAAAAGCTGTTGCCAGTTGATATCTGGATGCTGAAGCCAATGGTCTTTCTTTTTTTTTCCCAATGATCTTTCTTTCTCACTCTTTCAAACTGACCAAATATTCTCCCCTTTAATTTTGCAGAGGCAGTGATAATATATTAACTTATAAATAATTTTTTAAAGTATGAACACGGAAGCCTGTAAGCAACAGTTTATGGTGCATGTTCCTTAAGTTTGCTACAGTCTTGCCTGAGGCTGCCTGGCTGATACACAACTTTCAGAACAATTCCATTTCACTCTTTTGTGTGTGTGTTATGTATGCTTTTTCCAAGACAGAGCTTCTCTAGGTAGCCCTGGATATCCTGGAACTCACTCTGTAGATCAGGGTAGCCTTGAACTCACAGATCCACCTGCCTCTGCCTCCCAAGTGTTGGGACTAAGGGTAGGTGCTACCACCACCAGCCTATTTCACTCTTGATATAGTTCTCTAGAGGTAACAACCCCAAGACTCATTTCTACCCTTCATCCCTTCACCTTCTCTCTCCCAGCCTCCCAGCCCAGAAGCAGCTGCTCTGTGTGTTTACATGACCAAGATGACTTGAGGACTGGACGCAGGTATTGACATGAGCTATAAAAGAACATATAAAGCTAATGGTTTCTCTAGTTCTAATTATGTCATAGACATTTCCTTTCTGGGTGGTGACTATGTCCACTAAAATACATTTGATAGTAAAAGAGTAGAATCCAAGGTGAAGCTGTAAGCTTCAGAATGGCTACTCTAACTGAATAGAAGTTAGATGTCTTTAAAATGTGTTGAGTTTGGTGTATGGTGGTGCCCCACACACAAGGTTTCTTTTTATAATTTAGTTATTTAAAAAAAATGCTTGGGCCCTAATAGGGCAATGGACTCTGGGGTATCTGCTTTCTTTCTCTGCTAGTAAAAAGGAAGATTTTCTTTATCGCATTTGTTGGCATATATGGCTTCAAAATCCATCAAAAAGATGTATCAGCACATCCTCTCAGTTTGCACTTGTCCCAGAAATATTTGACTATGATGAAAATGAAGCTGATCCTCCATGCTTTTGTACTGCCATTGTCTGGATTAGTAGATATAGCCAATGTCTATTAATCTCTTATTGCCCACCACATGCTCATGCAAAGGGCTTTGTCTAAATACTCTTAATATGCATTGCATTTGTATAGTATAGGATTCTATTTGACCCCTTATTAAAGAAAGCTAAAATTTAGAGTAACTTGTACACAGAAAGTATTGGAACAAATGAGATTCAAACAACTTTACAACACTACATTTAGTGTGTGATTTACATTATTCTACAGTTAGGACTGTCTTGTAATGGAAGGAACTACTTTGCAAGATAATAAGTGACTTTCTGATTATGGAACATGTTTAATCAGGTACTAGGCAAACATAATCTCAAAAAGTTGTTCTAACAGAGTTCATGCTAATACTACTAAATGGTGACTTCCTATTGGCCAATAGAATACTTATTAGTCTCCATTCACTTCACATCTATACTCATTGTCATCATTATCATCTCTAGTTATCACATGCTCCATGCCAGATGTTTTTCCAAGCAGTTTTACTCACCTTAACTCATTTACTTACAACAACCATATGAATTGGGCATTCTGTGTTTATCCCTACTTCATGGATGAAGAAACCGATAAGTGATTTGTCCAAAACCATATCGTAACACACAATAGAGCTGGGTTGTAACACAGCTATTGGCTGTAATCCCAGTTCTTACTGATACATTGAATTCTCTCTCCTCTCTCTCTCTCTCTCTCTCTCTCTCTCTCTCTTTCTCTCTCTCTCTTGGTTTTTCAAGACAGGGTTTCTCTGTGGCTTTGGAGACTGTCCTGGAACTAACTCTTGTAAACCAGGCTAATTACAAACTCACAGAGACCCACCTGTCTCTACTTCCAAGTGCTGGGATTAAAGGTGTGCACCACCAACGCCCAGCTGAATTGTCTCTTAACATTGACACTTGTATCACATGCTTGAGTTTATCTTTCTGTCATCACAAATAAAGTGCATGCTATAAAATTTAATATAAAATAACAAATATATAACATCGAGAAAGTCTCCACACTCAAATGGTCCAGAAATAATTTTATCTTTACTAATCACAGATTTACAAAATCTACTATGTATTTTTCTTATTCCTTTCAATATATGTGACTCCCAAAAGCTATAACACATGTTTTTGAATGATCACGTTATATAAAAATAAAAATATACCACTGTTTCTTCTGGTTGGCATTTAAGTTTTTCTACCACTTTTTTCTATGAAAGAAGTCTTTAAGGAAGATGCAGACAGACACACACAAGATTTGTGTAAGGATCTCAAAAGATAGATTCTGAGCCATATTTCAGAGTCACGGGACATGCATTTAAACATTTTACTCTTTTTCCCCTCAAAATACTCAACAAAAAGGTAGTATAACAACCAGTCTTTTCAATAAAGAGGGCTGACTCTCCCAGCAACCTTTTCAACAGAACTAGGCTTATAGCACCTATAGTCTCCATTATCACAAGTATTAGGCTAACACTATTTGTTAATGCTGCATAAGATTGGAAATTGCATATGATCACTGTCTATCTGCATTTCCTCCCTGTCCCCCTTTCGAGACAGGGTTTCTTTGTGTAGCTGTCCTAGAACTAGCTCTGTAGACCAGGCTGGCCTTGGAACAACAAAGATCCTCCTGCTTCTGCTTCCCGAGTTCTGGAATTAAAGTCCTGTGCCACCACCGCCCAGCCAATAATGCTTATTGTTGATGTTACTGCTACAGTTCATGGAAGCTATGTGTCTGCCATAAAGTAAATGCTTAGATAGAGTGCTCTTGTTATTTTTTAGAGATAAAGTGAGAGTTTATCTCTAAAGTGAGAGACAACTGGTGTTACAGTTGTCTATCTATGTCTATCTAGGAAGTCTTACTGTTACTATTAAAGCTCAAATGTGTGTCCCAGTGTTCAGCTATTAGATCATCATGCTACAATCTCTCCAAAATAAGCATGCCTGATCTCCAAAGTTCTTTCCAAGCCTTATTGCTTCACAAACACACATTCTGTAGATTATTTTATGCATCTCGTAGGTTTCAGAATGCATCTCTTTGAGCTTTTGTTCCAAATTGCCAGCAATGAGGTGGACCTTGCCAAGTGGTTGTACAGGGAGTACTTCAAACATAGCATATACAACGTGGAAATCATTATCTCCCCAAGTCCTAGACATCCTCCAAGATAGTCCTCTGCCAGCACTGTTCATTATATTCATCTGGTTGTCAAGCCAGAGACTTCAAAGCCACCTTTGTTTCTTGCCACTGCCACACTCCACATCTAATTGGTTTCAAAGTTTGCCAGCATAGACGATATAATGTTTCTCACTCTATCGTCTATACATCCTTTGACTATAGGTTAGGTACTTCAAGATTGCAACACCCTCTCTTGGGCTGTTGAATCTGCCTTCTGAGTGCTCTTGTTATTTCTCCCTAGCTACTTCCTTTCATGCCCATTGCTATCAGAGTTAATATCTGAAAGATGATAAATGGCCATTGTAACACAAAAAATATAAAGACCCAGAGACAGATATTGGGATTCAAGCTGAAGATGGGAGAATCAAAGCAGCCAATCACTAGCTCTTTCCTCAGACTGAAAGGGCTGCCCTCAGCATGGGTGGAGAATAAGTCTCCACACGACGCCCTTTGCTTTTTCCTTTTATGCCTCCTAGTGTTGGGATTAAGGTGTGGGTTCCCAAGTGCTGAAATCACCTTTGTGTGAGCTGTTTCTCTTTAGAATTGGATAAATTTCATGTAGCTCAGTGTGGCCTTGAACTAACAGATCCATCTGCTTGTCTCTTGAGTCCTGGGATTAAAGGTGTGTGCCACCACTGCCTGGCTCTGTGGCTAGCTAATATGGCTGCTGGGATTGAAGGTGTGTATCACCATCCTCAGGCAAGATCTAATAGATCATAAATAATTTATCACCACAGGCTAACATATCCTGTTCAAAATTCTTTGGTAGCTGCATTCTAAATAAGTCCTAAACTACTTAGTGTACTTTATGAAAGTCCCATAGTGTGGACCTAGTATTTCATCCCAAGTTTATCAACAGTGTGCTATGACTCATGTACCTTAAAGTATAACAAGTGAAGACTTACTTTCCTGAGAAATACCAGTCATCTCCATGACAGAGCTTTTGTTCACACTGCTTAGAAGACCCTCTCTTGCTTCTTTCCTATCTGGTGTTACAGTTGTCTATCTATGCTTAAAGACCCTGAACCCTTCTTGCACACAGTTTACACTCACAGTCTGGCTTCACAATTTATTCCCTGCCATTTTTTGTTTCTAACTCTATTACAAATGCACTACAGACAAATTTTAAACTGGTTACATGTACGTTTTCTCTAAAAGCAAAATATCTGAAACACATTGAGTACTTCTTGTTCTTAGGAGCTTGATCTGTGAATGGGTGAAATTGGAATACACAGCCAGATAGTGGTGGTGCACATCATTAATCCCAGCACTCAAGCGACAGAGGCAGGTGGATCTCTGTGATTTCAGAGGCTAGCCTGATCTACAGAACAAGTTCCAGGATAGCCAAGGAAACACAACAAAACCTTATTTCGAAAAACAAAACAAAATTACAACCAAAAACAAACAAAATGAATTGTGATTCAGGTAAAATTCAAACTAAACAACTTCCAAGTTATATTACATGATGCCCCTGCAGTTATTCTGTCTTGGAATTAACTCCTGCGTTAAGTGGCCAGTTCTGCTCTAACTTCTTTGTAGAGGCTCCAAAAGACAAGAATTCAGGCTGCTGGCCATGGCAGTCCAGAGAGTATTTCACCAAGTTCCTGAAGGAGGTGGGGTAAAGCACACTAGAGCACATCGGAACACGAGCAGAGTCCCAGGACATCTGGGACTGATTGTTCCAGTGAGACGCTGAAGCAGAGAGAGCAATTCTTGCACTGCTTTTGGACATCTGGGCTTTGGCAACTACCCCATGGCTTTGCTCAGCAGTTCTTGGGAAATGAGATATGGGCTTGTTTCAGACAAAGAAAAACCTTTATTGACGCCACATCTACTATAGGAGAGGCCTTCAAAAGACTTCTTTTCCCCTTATATGGATTCTGGCTAGGTCTAGATCTCGCTGTCTTCAGCAGAGAAAAAGAGAGCAAATAGAGCAATTAAAATCCCGGGATCCCTGCCTCTTCCTGGGCAAAGTAACTGGAGAAACTTGGTTCTCAGTGTGTCTGTGTGTAAGATGGGTTCTAGAGTGTGACCTGCTGCACAGGCCTCTCCACATGTAGATGCAAACCCATCAAAGCCAGATTTTCTACATAGTGAAAGAATGGGAATCTGGAACCTGATCAGCTTAAGTTCAAGCACTTCAAGAAACTTAGACGGCCTGGTCTGCATTGGCTTCTACAAATGTCCCCTAATATCTCCTCCTTTGGCTCAACTTGAGTCTACAGCAAAAATATATTCACTCCATTTATCTTGAAGTTTCTCTTTAAAACATTAAAAATATATTCTATTAACTCTGAGAATACCTTGCATTTTGACCATCTTATCTCCTCCCCATCTCCTCTGGGACCCACCTCTCAAAGCCATTGGGTCCTATTAATGCTGCCTATATAATTTTACATGTGTGCCGTAAATTTGCATAGATCTTGCTGTCATAAACACTATGAGTGCATATGTGCAACTGTTGTATACAGAGGACATTGTTTACTTGTAGTCATCAAACAACCCTTGCCCCTTACAGTTTTTCTGTTCTTCTCCCACAATGACCTCTGAGCCCTAGCAGAGAGTGCAGACCATTGTCTCCTTTAAGGCTGAGAACTCAGTAGTCACTTATTCTTTGAACCTTGACCAGTTGTGGCTCTCATATCTTTATATTTATTTACTTATAGGATATGGGGTGAGTGAGTGAGAGTGTGTGTGTGTGTGTGTGTGTGTGTGTGTGTGTGTGTGTAACCTGGAAAGTGCCAGCATGAATTTGGAGGTCAAAGGACAACTGGTAAGAATCTACTCTCCTCTCTTCTTCCACCATGTAGACCGTAGGGAGCATCTTGAGAGGTGACAGACGGTTTCTTTAACAATCTTAGCCATCTCACCGGGTAGAAATTTTACTCCAATTTTGAGGAAAGAGCCTGTGTTTCATGTCTGAAATTACATGTTGCTGCTGTTTTTATTTTTGTTGTTGTTTCATTAGTAGTAATTTAAAGTAGCTACTTTAAATGGGGCAGACTGTCAAATCCTCAATCACAAAATAGGTGATTCTGGCTAACAATTACCTCAAACTTCAGATATTTTGACATGTTGCCTTGAAAGTAAGAGGCAGTGGGTATTCTATAAAGGAAGGGGAGGGAGGAGAGTTTAGCTAACACTGGCTTAGCACATGCTCTGTTGGGCTTGTATAGACACGATTCCATTTAAATCCTTATGACTTAAAAAGTCATAACAACTCATTGATATGTTAGTGATGGAGAATCCAAGGCTCAAGGAGGAGTAAATGATTTGCTCAGGTTCATGAACTTCCTAAATGGTAAAAATACATTAAAGTTGTAAGTCTTACTCCAGTCATGAATATTCCCGTCCTAGTCTTAACATAAAATAATGGTATGGTAATGTATATGACTCATTTAAACATTCTGGTTCATTATGTCTACACTTCAGAAAAAGTTATATTGTCATTATTTATAATTTATTACGATGTTGACAATCAGTGAACATTTAAAATTTAAGGTTTGCCAGAACCTGACCATTACCTATGGTCTCATTTATGCATAAATGAGAGGGAAGTGCCCGATTGTTGAGGGAAGTGCCGCTATTATAGTGGTGCATAACTACAGGCTAAGGGAGTTAAGTAAGTTCTAAGTATGGCTAAGGGTGTTAAAGTAAGTTCTCTAAGATGAGAGAGCAGAGAGTTGAAGCCTTGAATTTTGAATATGCTCTTAGTGGCTGATTCATATACCCATAGTGACAACTTGTTTGTGTCCAGAAGCAGAACTTACCTTTGCAATAGGGTAAGGAGGATTTTAGTCTCTTTGCTCTTAATGTGCTCACTTCCATAGATAAGAATTTGAACCATCAGACACTGTAGGTGAAGTGAGAAATGTAACAGGTTACAGAAAATCAGAGTAAACATGTCAATTGCAAACCAAAATCAGAAGCAGACTAGTGGACCTGGGGTGTCACAAGTTTACATATGGAATGCCTGTACTTCATTCCAATGGTTCCTGGCCAAAGGAAAAAAAGCAGTGTGGACTGAAGGCTCTAGTTACTTTCTGTAACCTGCATGCAATATATATGCAATCCAGTTTACTGCACCTGTTGCTACATATGACCAAAATAACAGGACCTAAAAGTGATAGAGTCCCTCCTTAAGCCATGTCTACAACAGTGATTTCTGTCAGGATTTTTTTTTTAATAACTCAAACTAAATAGATACAAGTAAATTCCATAAAGCTAGCTGCCTTGTAGTCTGATGCTGATCACTTTATTCTTAGGCAGTTTTCTTGACATTTTATTGCTGACATTTGTTTCCACATCAAATGGAATAGTAGAACCAGACTGAATCTCTAACTCAAACAGTCAATAGAAAGTATGCAAATCATGAACTGATTTTCAAGACACTAGGCATCAAGCAATTAAAGACTGTGATTGTCCCAAAGAGAGAAAGCAAGTGTGGTAAACATCATGATTGTCCTAGGCTACAGCTTTGCATTTCTGGGTTATCACAAAGAGAAGAGAGAGCAAATTAGGTTTATCAGAATTTCTCATAGAGCTGAGAGTGCAAGTAGACTCTTAGAGAGGAGAGAGACACTTTCACAGAAAAACAATGGGTATCTGCAGTGGGTCCCCCTCAAGTAGCAAAGGTTAGCCCTGGCATGAGAGGAAACTACTGAAAGCACAGAGGGGTGTGCTGGGCAGAGCACCTGGCATCTATACCAGGTTAAGTTAGTACCTGTTCTCACCCTTGACTAAATGGTGTCTAGTCTCAAATGAGATCTTCAAAGCATGGACCAAATTGTTTACAAGTGGTTTAGCTGGAATGAAGTTCAAAAATAACTATAAGACTACAATGAGACCAATACCCAATAAGATCCAAGCACTTGGGAGGCAGAGGCAGGTGGAGCTCTCAGTTTGAGGCCAGCCGGATCTGCAGAGTGAGTTCCAGGACTCTGGTATCCAAACAAAGATTACCCAGCATGAAAAGCAAACAGAAAATGAATGAGACCCACAATAATAAAAAAGCAACCAATTAAAACTAACCAAGAAGCATATTGTAGGCACAGTGGCACATTCCTGTAATCCAGCACTTGGGAAGCTGAAGCAAGAAGGATCATGAGTTTAAGATCAATCTGAACTATAGTGTGACCTTGTCACCAAAAAAAAATGTACATTAAAACTATCACTGGAACTATATTCATTCTCCACTCGCTCTTCTCTTCTTGGTGCATGTGTTCCTGTGTGTGTGTGTGTGTGTGTGTGTGTGTGTATGTGTGTGTGTGTGTTCATTCTATCAGTCCAGTTCCTCTGATAATCCTCACTAATTCATATACATATATATATATATATATATATATATATATATATATAT